AAGGAGGATGCCTCCTTATATCACACAGAGCTCGGGCGGTGGGGCTACCCGTCTCTGCTCTCCGCTTGGGTTGAGGCGGGAAAAAGGGAGAGCACCCGCCTGTCTCGACCCAACAATGAGGTTGGATACCCGATACGCGGGGAGGGTTACACGGGGCGGGATCGCTTACCCTAATGTTTGTAAAGCAGCGATTGTTACACCCGGTTAAATTACGATATAGATTCCATCTCGTTTCACGAGGAGAGTCGGAGATAGAGAAGGAGAGATGAGAGAGAGAGAGAGAGAGAGAGAGAGAGAGAGAGAGAGAAGAAAAAGGGGGAGGGGTGGAAGGAAGAAGAAGTTTTTGTTTATCACCTAAAAGGTCCAGCTCCCCTATCGAGCCTGTAGACCTACTTATTGATTTATGATCAATCGTCTTATTTCTTTTCTAATGTTAATTTTAAAACATTCCATTCTTTTTTCTTCTTTTTTTAAATCTCACGATCGGACATTAAAGCCCCTTTAAAGTGTTGGGAGCACCCCAAATTTGATGGCATAATTTCACTTAAATTGTATCGTATATGTGAAAGATGATGTCATTTAAAGACACATATTTCTGCAAGGATTTCAAAACAATGTGCTTTAAAGGTAAAGACCAATATTGGAAACGCCCCAATTTCAAAAAATGAAATGGAAGCTCTCATTACCAATCATGTGAAAGAATATGTTTTGACTAATACATGATGATAAAAAATTTGCCGGGAAACCGCCTAATAATTCATATATTTGGTAAATTTGTTTCTCTCATGGTCTTTGAGAGATATAGGGTAGTCCCATATACATCTTTCTGTGTATAGTGCTTGTAACTTTACGAAGAATGGGCCAAATTTCTTATCATTTTGATGATTCCAGAACCTTGCAGATGCTAGATGCTAGATGATCAACCTTTCTGATCGATTCCACAACGTTTCTTTCACAATGCAATCGCATGACCATAACTGGTCTTTACCTTTAATTCGAATAATGATGTAAGAATACCAAAATTAGGTTTTCTGCGTACAACAGGAAACCAAAATTATGTATTCTTTTATCAATGTTTGTCTTCAAACACCTTTTTTTGTGGGGGGGGGGGGGCGGGAATCTTTGCAGAAGTGTATCTAAAATTACCTCCTCTTTCATATTATGATACAACTCAAGTGAAATTTTGCCATCAATTTTTTGGGCGAATTTGGGGCTCCCAACACTTTAGAGGGGCTTTAACACTTGTTGCATCATATTAACGTGTAAAGTTATGATAAAGCTATCATTGTATGCCTGCCTTGTATATTTTGAAACATGCATATAATAATGTAGATCTTACAAATGCACTGTGCAATATTTCAAATTGAACATGTTGAGCAGAATTTAGGGAGCAATTCTTTTCATTTACAATCTTTTTATTTATTGATTAAATCTTGTCATCATGAATACAATTAGAAAATGAAAATTATATGCTTGTTGATGTGGTGTATCTTTTAAATACAAGGTTCTTTATCGTAATAAATGTCAGATAAAATGATATGATTGTTGTGAATGTGTTTGAAAAACAACAACAGGGGCGACAATGATTTGCATTGGATGTGTTATAGTGTCTACAATAATTAATCATCATGCTCATTACGAGCATGATTGTCATCCGATTAATTAATTAATCTTGTAATCCTGATCTATTATCGCCTCAAACGCGCTAAAAAAAAAAATCCTCCCTACACGACGCGTATATTTGCAAAGCGTTCGAAGTGTTCGTAAATAATGCAAGCTTTTCAGTAGGGTACGTCAAACACTATAATTATAAACGCAGAGCAACCGACCCTCATTTCGGTCAAACAATGCGTCCCTGTACGGACGCAGGAGGTCCCGTGTGTACATATCGGTGTTGGCGCCGCGTGGAAAACGGTGTTTTGTGCCGGGATTAGTAACATATGGTAACTTGAGTCTCCTCTCTCCTCTCCAAGTCATAAACATCTATTCTAAGTTGACAATGGACAAGGAATATACACCAGACCACCTTTGCCCCCAAGGGAAAAATAGGATAAATATTTTGACATATTCCAAAATCAAATACTATCACACTACACGCTAAACCTGTTGCAGCAGGCCTACTAATACTACACTCTTAAACTAATAAATAACAACAATTGCTATTTCATTTTGCTTTCTTCGTGAAACTCAAAGTATGTCTAAGAAGGGGGCATCTGAAAAACGCATATACCTCAGCACCCTTCCCATCTCTACCTAGTAAACAATTTCAAATAAAATGATGCAACCCATCCCTCGAAAATAAAAAAGACGCGGGCAAACAATTTGGATTATGAACATATTGGTTACCAATTTTTAATGTTTTTTTTTGTGTGTATAGAAAACTGGAATTTTAAATGCTCAAGACAATGGACGATCACACCATTTTTTGATTGATTTTATATCTTTTAAAATGTACAATAACGGAAATTCGGGATAAACTGATACACCTGCGACGTTTATCTCAAGCATTAAGCTTTATTGTCCTACCTCTGTATGCTCCTGTATTATTAACTGTTGAAAATGTATAATGATCGTAATCTCCTCTTGTTACTGCCGTGATGGTCATGATCATACTATGTAAACTGTTCAACAATGCAGAAATAAATAAATAAATATTCGTCAAAGCTAAGGCTAGGGTTAGGGTTGCGATTGGGTTTTATGATATGGTTTAAGTCATTGTCTGCGTAGCAAATACTACCTGGGCATGTGTCGTACAAGCACATTATACAGGGGATATATTGTGATGAGTCGGATACACTGTTCATAGTGCCGACTATAGCGGCGTCTTATTCTGGATTATTGCGGATGAAGAGATACCGAACAACTCGGGTCATTATGGCTTTGATTATTCATAAAGCTATACACGATACCAAACAAAGAAAGAGCTGGGTTGGATACAGACACCCCTCAACCACCACAGCGACTCCTCAATGAACAATACACCACTTTACAAGCGGGGCACAATGACCCCCTTTGACGGGATTGTGATATTAATGTCGGAACTTAGCATGCATTTCATCCCAGACGCGGTCGACATGGCCATGATGGTAGACGATGTATGACGAAGAAAGGCCGGCCGCTTTCTTGACTCTAAACCATTTTGCATCTCATGAATGCTGATTACTTTCAAGGCGTCATTTCTTTTGCGTTATTAATTTACGCTAATGTGGAGGCAGTAATTGCATGCGCCAATAAATCGACGCAATACTGGCAATGATCGCCCTCGCATGATGTGTCACAGACCGTACGTATCGCACAGAACGTCGAGGCCTGCCTGGTCATTGACGCAAGTCTCCGCCATTAATAATGACGCCTCGTGTGCAGCGGACATGATTGACTGACGCACGGAATCTCCAAATGCAAAATGTAGCACATCCATTCTGGAATCAAATGAGGAGGCGCGATAGCTCAGTCGGTAGAGCAGTGGTCTCGTAATCCGGTGAAACCAAGGCGATGGGCCAGTGTCCTTTGGTAAGACATTAATCTTCATAACCAGGTCCCTCGGAGAGGTCCTAAAGCCGTTGGCTGTCTGGTTGCTTACTTACTAGCATTTATGCTTTCTTAGTAGTCAGGTAAAATAACCACCACCACCAATGTAAAATGAAATTATTATTATATCAACTTTTCCATCTCAAATCATGTTGTTGTCGAATATTAAATTATTCATTTATTTTATATTTTATCGGCAATCATTATTAATTTCGATTATAGGAGTAGCTTTCTCATCTCACCTCTTGTTGTTATCTAGTAATTTGTTTACTTCAATCGGCAATTAGTATTCATTTGGATGATAATAGCGTGTATATAATGTCTTCCGTCTCTGGGAGACTACCCTGAACAGACCAGACCCGGACAACTAATCCTGGGCAGTACTACGACAGATGCTTCGACGATAAATGTTGCATCTGCTCCGCTAACTTAGGCCCTGGACCGAACGTTGACCCTAAAACTAACCCTAACCGTAAAATGCTTAACATAAGTCATTAACGTAACCTCAAACCTAACATTCAACCCTAGTGGTAACTAACCCTATGTTTTTGACGGAGTAAAGCCCAGAGCAAAAAATGTCGGGTACTCCATAAGGAGAAAAAAAAGGGGGTGTCTTTACGATTGTAACCCCCCCCCCCCTCTCTCTCCTCTCTCTCTGTATCTCTCTCTCTGTCTCTCTCTGTCTCTCTCTCTCTGTATCTCTCTTTCTCTCTCTATCTCACTCTCTTGAACGCATAAAAACACACACGCGACCCCACCCTACCCACACTTTGCCCTTCATCTTCTTCTAAACACTTTCATGCGAACGTTTGAATATTCATAAGTATTCATAACGAAGAATTGTGACGAAACAATGACAATGAATGCAACATTAACAATGGAAACCCTCATCTCCCCTATCCATTTCACTCTCTCCCCTCTCTATCTATATCACACACACATAAACCCCACGTCCTCACTTACCCTCACGCCGTCCTTCCCCTGGCCCTAAACATGTTCACAATATTACATATAATTCAATACTAATGTTTGAATATTCATGATAGCGCATGCGTAATTTTGTGACGAAACAATGAATATATAAGAACGTGTAAAAATCACAACTAATGCTGAATGCACGTGATCAATACAGAATTATCCGAAGGGAGCTCAAGACTCATCAGACAATACAAATCCTATCTAAAGCATTACAATGATCTCTCCATCTTCGAAGGAGTTTTAAAGTCCAATTTCCTGTTTTACGTTAACAAATATCATATTTTTGTTACTTTTACATTTCGATGTCTTACGAATTAAATTTTTGATGACTTATCAGTGTACCTTTTTATTTCGAACCATGCTTAAATTTTAATTTTATTACTGTTTGTTACTTTAGTAAACTTTCTTTTAATGAAGCAAACAATGTGCAGTTTCGAAAAAAACCATGTGAATTTACAACAAGTACATGAACATAATGAATGTGTTTTACTTACCGTAGATTTTACGGGAACATAAAGCACTTTTCGTCCATAATCAGGCTGACCCTTCTCAGCAGCTGCTAACTTGAAATTCTTTCCTTTAATCCAAAATCGAAAACGGCCATTTTCCGCCGACGGAAGTTCCTCTCCTTTGAGAACGGCCACAATGCGATTGTACTTCTTCCGGGTCACCGTTTTTGTCTTGCCACTGTCGCCGTAAGTTTTCTCCACCCATTTACAGTACTGGTCCGGTGGGATCATCTCATCCCCACCTCCCCCTCCTCCTCCTCCGCCCCTTCCACATCCACCTCCCTTCTCTAACTCCATGACGGTTCCGCCATCGTGTTTGCTGGTGTCATTCACAGCGCCGCAGCCGTTGGTTGTTACATTAACACCTGTCATCAGCGAAAGTCCATCTCGTTTGGGAGCGATGTCCATTTCCATATCTGTACAACTCCACTCCAGTAGAAAACAAAATATGAAAAGATCTTGAAAAAACTACTGAGGGTGGGGAAAATTGTGAAGACGCGGAGGGGGAAATGAAGTGGAATTACAATCGCGTTCGGTTGAGAAGTAATCGCGCTTTTAAACTGGGTCCCGTTTAGTGTCGGCGGCACCTCGTTGTCATGGTAACGAACAGGCGTCACTCACGAGCCACAAAGCACGTTCAATGCAGCGCGCCAAGCTTGCTCGAGCTCGCGAGCCAACTACTCTCCGCTATAGTGGTTGTGATTGTGTCCCATTCCACGATTTTTCCTCTGATGAATCGACCGGAGAAGAGAGAGAGAGAGAGAGAGAGAGAGAGAGAGAGAGAGAGGAAAAAATGAATAAAGCGGGAGATGAAGGAATAGAAAGAATCAAATACAGCGCTGCCAGTCTTACACAATATCCGGGGAGAAAAGGGCGAGGCAGAAATGGTGAAATTTCAAGTCAGTAAAAAGGATGTCGAAAAAGCACAAATTCACACACGATTTTGTTTGAGGCACGCGAGAATGATGATGATGATGATGACGAAGGCTGCATGTAAAGTTGGAGAAGGCACTGCCGCTGGTTGAATGTCGCTTGCACACCGTCCGTGTTTAAGTATTTCATTAGTGAGAAGCCCGAGGTATGGGGTGAATAAGAAGGGTATTTGTTGTGCTTGCTGTGTGGGTGAAAGGCGTACAAACACCTTTCACTTTTTATGTATCGTTAGCCAGCAGTTGCATGGGACGGGCTCGAAGGGACGATTTCCGTTCAGCGGTTCTCCGGCGACTAAATATTGGCGTCGATATCTATTCAATCGCTGCGATAAAAGCAAATGCTCCCTCCATCCACTAAGGCAGGCTTGTCAAAATATTGATACAGAATATAGAGAACGAGATGGAATTTGCTTATGGAATATGAATGCAAATGTCTTAGACGAGCAAGATGAAAGTGCTTTCAGTGTTCAGTGTATAAAGGCCATGAAATGTTTCTTGCAAGATGTTATTTCAAAGTTGGTATTTTATAACGTATAGCCGGTACATCCCGGCACAGAGGCCTAAAGCTTTCTATTGCGCAAAACACGATTGCTCCGACCATGGACTTGGTATAGCCTGCTCCGACGTCTAGATTAAGGTTTACGTTTGAATCATCATAATTATGCAGATTAAAGGATACCTTAGAACACCACGCAGAAGATGAGATGCTATTGAAACCCCTTCCGTCTTTATGTACGAAATGCAATGCAATTTCCGCTCTTGTCCGTTTCCTGATTTAAATTCCCTTCATTACAATTGTTTACATCCATCCAGTTCAGTTTAATAATAAAACACTTCACCGTCTTGCTGATAAGCAGTCCAATACACAATATATAAGCATCCTATCAGGTGAAGCATATAAGAGATTTTCCACCTTCTAATATCGATGCTAAGAAAAACGACGTTCTTTGCAGAAATTTACATTCCCGCCAAATCCTCGTCGTCTGCTTGTAAACGGCGCATCACAATCCGCATATACGCGAAGCCTTTTTTTTCTGTCCACAGGTGAGTGTCACGTTCGTGAGGTTATTTCACAACATTACGATGTCATTTCCACACCAAGCCTTAAAAATAATTGAAGGTGACCGAATAATAATTGCATCCGCTGCTAGCAGGCGAGGTGACGGCTTGCTGGGCGGGAGATGCAAGGTGGATTTAAGGCACTAAGACGGTTGTGAGACGTTTTGGGATACAGCTATATTTCGACCTCCTCCGTGTCGTCAAATCGCAGGCCGGTATGGGACGGTTAACAGCCGACAGCCGAGAGATGCGCCGCACTCAGATGCCCGACAATCTCTCTCACTCACTCACTCGCAATGGACGGGTGATGATGGTGTAAAGTCTGCGTGTTCATTCGCGAGCAGACGATCACTTGACAGCATCGGTCCCAACTATGGAGTGAAAGAAATGAGTTTCAAGCAAGGGGCGTTGCCATGAAAAGGGCGCCAAGCGCTTTATTTCTTTATAACATTAAGCTCTTTACGCTATGCAATTGTCAATTATAAGCTTTCCTCTCCCCACTTCATCTCTCTCTCTCTCTCTCTCTCTCTCGCTCTCTCTCTTTCTCTCTCTCTCTCTCTCTCTCTCTCTATCTCTCTCTCTCTCTACCTATCTCTCTCTCTATCTATCTCTCTCTCTTTTCTCCCCCTCACCCTTCTATTTTTTCAACCGTCATGTGGTAATATCTTTTTTTAATATTATGCTCTCTTCTCTCTCTATATACATTTGTAATTGTTCAAATTTGCCCTCCGATCTTTCATTTCTCTCTCTTCTTTCTCCCTTCAAACACATTCTCTTATTTTCACCTCCTTATCTTCTCTCCCCTTCTCTGACTCTCTACCTCCTTCTTTCTCTCTCTCTCTCTCTCTCTCTCTCTCTCTCTCTCTTGCACTCTGTCGATCTATCTTCTCCTTTTTGGTCTTCCTTTATCTTGTTCCTCTCTCCCTGTTGCTCTCCTCAAACTCTCTTAATCCTCTCTTCTTTTAAATCTGATAATGTAACATGATTTTGAGTTTTTAAAGGTACTATGTCCCTTTTGCAGCCAACCTCAAAATCTGTAGAACTTTGCAGGAATTATGAATATGTCATGTATGTCCTATCTGTGAAATTTAAACGTTAGCAGTGTCCTCATATTCAAATTATGCAAGGAAACCCGTTTACTTGCTAGACTTCACCGTCAGACACTATTGAGTGACTGACTGGCTTTTTTCTTCTTTGGTAATACATGAAAAGAGTTGTAAAAGGTACCGTGAGCATTTGTCTACATCAATAACCCACTTCTTGTGATGGCCAAGATTAAACTGATTGAATCTTTGCGCAGCATAAAACGTATGACCATTCGGTACAATTGTCTGAAAATCAAGACTATTACTTTTGGGCTCTATAGCCCTAAAGTCGATTTGACAACTAAGAGTCGTTATTTTCCCACTTGAAGACATTTTCAAGCCCCACCTTTTTTAGGGAAGTTCTAAATTAGTATTATCTCTCAAATGCAGTTGGAATTTAACTTTTTCATTTTTTTTGGCCTGCAAATGGGACATAGTACCTTTATTAAACTAAAACGAGAGGTACAAAATCTTTTTCGTAGTGCTTTAAACAAAAAAAGGTTCTTATCTTTCACCATTCTATGTAGGATTAAGCATGAACCTTTTTTATTTTGATCATTCTTCTTTTATTTCACTGTTTTTTAAAGGGACTTGGTAAATTTGTTCAGATGTGAATAAATGATGCTAAGGTAGTGAGTTCAATGCTAAATGTACAATTAAAGATAATCTGAAAGTTTGAGCGAAAACAAAACATTATTAATGATTAAAATTAGGAAAAACTGATTTTTTATTATTACATCAAGGTATAAGCCTATATGTCGTTATGATGGTTACTGTGCCCGCAAGCAAGCAGAACAAATGAGGTTACCCTGGATTGAAACCACACACTATTATTTGAGAAGCTTAAAGATAAACTTGAGTTCTGGTTAAAAAAAAAGAAAATGAATTCTCACAGAATCTAACGAAACTTACACTGAATGTTCAAGATTACAAATAGATTACAAATTTTCCCTCCACAGGGATTTTATTGATTTTCATTTGAAACACATACAAAAATATATATTCAAGGTAATTTACATAATAACATAAATAAAATAAAATTGGCTTTTCAAGATACAAGTATTGATGAACTGTTGAGTTAACACAAAATAACAAATCAATAATTCATTTCTAACACTCATGGAAAGAAAAACAAATACAGAAAAAATATCATTTTAAGTAAACAAATTCCTGAATTGAAACCATTTTCTTGTGAATTTATTATTTCTACAATTCGAATTTGCAATATACTTTTCGTTCTTGAAGTAATTTATAATCGAAACTCTAATATTATCAAAGTCGGGCAATTGTTTCTTTATTTTGCAAGTATACACCATCTGTCGCACCACAATCAGTATACAATTCAATGCATAATTATTTGAACCTTTTAAACCAAATAATTTATCTTGTAATGAAAATGTTAATTTATTTCCGGTTCCAGTATTAATCCAGTGTTCTAACTTACCCCAAATATTTTTAACATGCGTACAGTCACATAGCAGATGTATAACTGTTTCAATCTGTTCATTACAAAATGTACATTCTTTTCTTGGGACTAAATTCATTTTAAACAGTAGATCGTTCGTATATAATATGCGTTGCAAGACTTTAAACTGAAACCATCGTAAGCCCACATCAATAGTACAATTAAATCCAATAGAACAATATGTTTCCCAACTCTTATCATTCAGGTCAAAAATGCATTTCCATTTAAGAAAACTTTTACATTGTCCTTTTCTTCTTTTTAATAAAATTGCATAGATATGTGAACATCCTTTAATACGTTTCATAACAAATGCCATTGTATCTGGGAAAAGAGGTTGTGGCACCTTGTTAAAAATAGTACAATTGTTAAACCCTTGTCTAATTGCATCGCATAATCCACGATAAAAAAGAAAATTTATTTGAATATTATACTTTTCTTGAAAGTGTTCCAGAGAGAAAAAATCACCATTTGTGTCTAAAATATCGTTAACAAAACGAACTCCCTTTTGACACAATTTTTTATTATATATTGAGCTATTGCCTATTTTAATGTAATCATTATTCCATAAGGGTTGGCAAGAAATGTTATCATAATGCATGGACAAGAGCGTACTATAAGCCATGAACATTTCTTTCCAAAAAATGTTCTTTGTTTTACCTGCCAGTTCCCGAAAATAATTGTTTCCCATATATAATTTTAAATCTTGCCGTTCAGGCAAGAAAGATTGCAAAAGACAGAGGATATTGCTATCTATTGAGCCAATTACTAATCTCTTAATCCAGGATATTTTTAATGATTGGCAATGTGTGTATATATCTATCATTTTAACCCCTCCGTCTGAGTAACTTTGTGACATTTGATTTCTACTTATTTTATCAGGTTTCTCCCCCCATATAAATCTATAAAAGTGAGCATTTATATCTTTCAAAAGATTTTCACCAGGATTAGGGAGGGACAAAAAAAGGTAGTTTAATTTGGATACCAACAATGACTTGACAACAGTGATTCTTCCAAGAACAGTTAAGTATCGTCTTAACCACGATGTCATTTGACTTTTTATTTCTTTAAATTTTTCATTATAATTGTGAATTATCAATTTGGGCAAATCCGTACAAAAGTCTATACCTAAATATCTGAAATAATCATCAAACACCCAATTTAGATTTCTATTCAAAAGAACACCATCTTTTAATGCACCTTTTAATGCACCTTTTAATATCACTTTTCCATAGACGCCTTTACAAAATCTTGTAAACAATGTCTTTTTTCTCAGAATTAGGCTCCTTTTGGAATTAAACTCTTCATTTGTTAATAATATTTTTATTTTGTTGTTTTTGTTATTACTACTACTGTTATTTCTATTTTTATTATTATTACCATTACCATTATTGGTGTTATTATTGTTATTATTAATATTATTTCTTTCATTATAAATATTATTAATATTATTTATTTCATTATAAACATCATTATCATTTTTACCATTATTGTTATTATTTTCTTCATAACCATCATTGTTATTTTTGTTATCATCAATCTTTTTCAATGAGATTATTATCATTCATTTTTCAAAACAATATCAATTCCTATTTCCCATTCATCCAACAATTGTAATTGAAACATAAAGCAGACATCATTTCTCATAATCATGAGAGCGATGGGTGCGTGTTGTTTCAAACATTATTCATATTAGATATCCTAAGTCACTAGGATAGAGAATTCTCAAGGACACCTTGTCATCCATACAGTCCTGATGATCACAATGATAAGGACATCGTACACCTTCCGGCGGCGACTGGACTTCGAGAGCAATTGAAGCAGGATTTGAGTTTTGTAAATTCTTCCCGACTGACTTCCCCCAAATGTTCAGATAAACATAATTTTTATTATTATTATCATCTCCGGGATATTATACATCTTCGATCCCTCCACTCTAA